TTGCGCTAAGATGCCGAGCTAGAGCTCGGCATGGCGGTACGATTAGTACAATATTAATAATAATCAAAAGACTAACACGCCCTTCCTTCCCTTCCATAAAATAATGATAATAATTACAAACCATGCTTTATAATAAAATAGTGCTCATATGAATACTTAAATAGTACCAAAAATCCCAAAATAAATACATTAATATACTAAAATAATTTCTAAAATATTATTAATATAATTTATGAAAACCGGGGTGTTACAACCGTTACGGTAAAATTTTCACAATTCAAATTATAATCCAAATGTATATATAAATCTAGATCTATTAAATTTTATAAAAATGTGAAACACAATCGCAATCTTTCAATTTTTGTGAAATTAAAGAACAGTGAATGATTGATTTAGGCGATTTAAATTATTTTAGGTCTAGATCTAAATCTAGATCCAAAATTAGTCTTAAAATTTGATCCGAATCTATTAAAATAAAATTCGTAATCAGAAAGAATGGAAAATAGATCTAGAATGGAGAAGAAGACAAAGAAAATTCGTACGATAAAAATAAATCATGAACTCAAATTTTACTGTAATTCATGAAACCTTAAATCGAATGAACGGATTAGTCTCACATCTTCATCAAGATGCTGCAGTTTCTTCGTGTAGAAAAATGTAAAGAGAAAATTTAGAAAGAAAGAGAAAATTTAGAGAAACTTGTAGAGGAAACAACTATAAAATCTTAAAAATGAGAATAAAGTGTAAAGTGTACATGTGTTATAGTTATTTATAGATTACACAAATAGGCCTAATCAGAGTAATTAAAGGCCTAGTCCACTAAATCAATTCTAATTAAATTACTAAACAAATTCTAACATTATAATCTAAAAAGAAAAAGAAAATACTATGTAGAGTCACAACTTTGCAACGCAGTTTGGGGTCACTTAACGTCAGAATTGGCCTTTACTGTCAACATAGAAGTTGTAGAAATTTCTCTTATCTTTCTAAGGGCATCAAGAACACCCAAATCCGATGTCAGGAACTCTACATATGTCCTATACAAGAAACAATGTCAAAACAGGAAAAAAAATGAAAATTAATTAAAATTTACAACTAAGACCAAAATGACTAACTAAGATAAATTGAAGCTAAACATATCACAATATGATACTAATAAAAGTCAAATAAACAAAAAATAATGTATAGAAAAATATACAAAGGCCAAAATGACTCACTAAGATAAATCGAAGCTAATACATATCACTATATGATACTAATAAAAGTCAAATTAATAAACAAAAAAATAATGCATAGAAAAATATACAAAGATCAAAATGACTTACTAAGATAAATCAAAGCTAATATATCACAATATGATACTAATAAAATTCAAATAAACAAAAAATAATACATAGAAAAATATATAAAATTTGATCTATCAATATGCACAATTTCAAACCTGTAAAAACGTTTCAATTTCCTAAGCTCTTCCTAGGAGGAATTCGATTTGGTTATCAAAGTTTAATGCAAGACAATATTACACTACAAAAAATTTTCATATTGACACACACCCTATAGTGACACAATATGTGTCATTGTGTCACTAAAAACTACTTTTATTCACACAATAAATATAATATGTATTGGTATATTGTTAAAAAGTGTGAATATAGGCTATAATGACACATAAAAAATGTTGCTAAATCTCATTCATAATCAACACTAAAATTATATGTAACTATATATCAAATAGATATATACCTATATATATTATACATATAATGATATTTTTTATATGTCATTATATATAATATTTCTTGTAGTGTTACGATAGTGACAATGTCTATCGTTAAGCATTGTGTCAAATGGTTTATCGGTGAAGAAAAAATTTATGACTGTTAGATATTATAACATATTATTAATAAAAATTAATATTAAATTATCTTAAAATTTGAAGTGTCTTTTTTAATCTTTAAGTAACTTTCAAAATTGTATTTTTACGGTCCTAGCAGTATTTGTTCCATAAAAAGTACACATTCATAAATCAGATGTGACTAATAATGTGAAGTAAATAGTTTTTAATAAGTTAATTTTAATTTCATTTAAAAATTATAAAATAACAAATAATTTTGATAAAAATTATACATTAATTATGCAACTATAATAATTTTTAAACGTAAATTATAAAAATTTTAAAATACAAGATACTTTTATATTATTTATTAACAATAATGTACTTTTCATAATTATTAATGTAAAAATGATAATTGTGTATAATTTTTAAGCTTAAATTAATATTTTAGTACATGCATGATGGAATAACACTAAGGCCGAGAAGACCAAGAGGTGATATATTAAAGGAAGCAAGAGGAATGGGTTAGTGAGGCCACTTTTGGACCTTAGCTCCTAAGTTCTTATTAGCATAGCATTTATTTTATTCCTATTTTGCCCTTATCTTTGATTCCAAATTTACCCTTGTACTTTGGGGTATTTTAGTCATAGAATTTATTTTACTTGTATTTCCAATTTTACCCTTGTATTTTGGGGTATTTAGGACTTAGAATTTATTTTCTTTTGTATTTCTCATTTTACCCTTGTATTATGGGGTGCTCTAGATGATTAGGGTTTTTAATTTTGGGCTAGGGTGTTAATTAGAGGGTGACGCATTTTTGGTGCTTATTGGGTCTATTTTTGGTGTTAGAAAGGCTTAGGCCCAAGTGGAGGGCAAAGGTTGCATGGTCTTATCATGCACCTAGATATAGCCAATCTAAACCCAAAGATTCCATCCTTGGCCACCAAGTTGCATCTAGGGTTCATTTGCATTTCATTTGGAATGCATTTGCCTACTCCAAATGCAACCCTAGATGCCTCCCCTCCTATAAATACCCAACACCCCACACCTTGTAAATACTTTGGATTATATGATATTGAGTGAGCATTTTATGCCTCAAAATCCCATCCTTAGTCACTAGGTTAATTCGGCTAGCCTACTTCATTCTCCACCCTTGGAGAGTGAAACCCTAGAGTGGCCTCCACCTACACTTGGAGTGAGCCAACCTTGAGCAACCATACATTTTTCCCCACCTTCACCTATTCACGCCAAAATCCATCTTCCACCTTAAACGTCCCTTTTCTAAATCCTTTGGTGAGCCTAGATCTTTGGGCAAGGAGTCTCTCTTCAAGGAGCCGAAATCATCCATGGAAGGGAGGATTCCATCAATGCATCTCACATGTTCAATATTTATTATGTGTAGCTAGAATTTACAAAAAAACAATTATATATTGTTCTTACCGGAATTTGTCGTGTGGACGATCTTCCAAGTAAGATCGGTGAGCCTCCTTCACTGGTACGCTGGTGCTCCAAGATGGGGGTGGTACCTGCAAAAGAGACTCCAATGCTAAAGTTAGGGTTTGTATGAGTAATAGTCTCGTATATGTAATGCACGTACCTTGGAGTGAATTAGGTTTTCTTTGGGCTCTGGGCCTGAGATAAGATATGATAGCGGATCTCGTCTGGGGCGAGATCTTCGGTGGTTGGTGATTGGATAATGGCTCTTGTATGGGCGAGATCCTCGGGAATCAGTTGTGATTCACCTGGATGCCGAGCTGACATCGTATGACGCGTGCCCGAGATAATCTTGCATTGTGATGTCGAGCTCGGAGCTGGGCTTCGCAGTATGGTCAGTACACTAGCCCCCCGAGCTCCAAAGACCATAGGTCGAGGAGTTAAGACCGAGCTCGTTGGGGGAAGTGGCTTTTCACATATGTCGCGACCGTTCATTCCCCAGGAACGCACAAGTGATGTGCCCTTGAGTTGACACGTGGCGCGGCCGTTTTGAATTGTTGGGAGAAGACTTTCTTTTCTCTCACTCGCGCCTCTTTGCCTTCTTCATTTTACTCTTCTTTCAACTTCCTGCGTACGCCGCTTCTCTTGTTTTCGTCCACCTTCCGTCTCCGTTTTCTCCGTTTCAGTCACTGTTTTTGGTAACCCCTTCGTTGTTTGGGTTATTTTCTGAAGAGGAGTACCAAGTACTTCCTTTTTACTGTCTCCTTTTCTTTTCTTCCCGGTTTTTCTTGTCTTTTCAATGGCTGGGGGGAGTGGTGCCGGCCCTTCTGCGCCTTCTCGGGGCAAGGCGCGTGGTAAGGCGGTGGCTACCGGGAAGGCCACCGCCGAAAAGAGGGATCCGCCCCGGGGCCCGGAG